ATATCAAAGTGTATATGATTCCAGGAAAAATATTGCAACGATAAACATGCTCTAAATTACCTCATATCCTCTTTTTAAATTTGAGCTTTTGATAGGGTTTGGTTCAATGTCAAAATAATGTCACCATAAGGTACTTCTTGTTTTACATCAACAAGACCATAAGTCTTCAAAACCTGAAAGTGACAATGACCAATCATATTAGTAGTTAATACCAATACATGCTCAATTCGTACTTCTACAGGCAGTATAAGTTTCCTTGACCAGGAAAAAAAAGGTAGCATATTTTTAACTTGTTCATAGAGTATAAGAAAACAGATAACAAACCAATTTAACATACAAATAATTTGAGTCCAAAACATTTGACTTGATGTAAAATCGACTTGAGAAACTTCTGCTGCTAAGAGACAGATTTTTCTGGCTATTATTTGTGGAGTGACATTTGCGGGAACAGATATCAGACATAAATGATATGTAACGAAAAACTCAAAGGTGAAATGATATTGAACAAAGAAATAAAACTTGGATAACTGAATCAATTTCCAATAACTAGGTTATTATGAACATCAACTCCCAAGTTGTGCATTGAAAACTATGCAAACATTTTGCTCCCTTGTTCCTACTACTAAAATGCTCTTAAAATGATAAAATCTGTGATGTGCCATAAGATCCATGCCACATCAAATACTGGGAGAACTTCTAAATTTGCTAAGGTGAATTCCAATTTAGTATCCAATAAAAAAAAAACTTGCATTCAAACTAGAGAACCTAACTGATATGGCTCAAACGAATTACCAGTGTTTCATAGAACATTCGGGCACATAGCTTTCTAGTTTTTCCTTCTAAAATTTTGTTCAAGCTGAGATCTCCAGCGACATCTTCCGAAGTTGAGGAGATAGAAGATTCCCTCTTCAAAAATTGAGCCACAGCCCTGCATACCAAACGGGGAGAATAATAAGAAAAATAAATATATTGTGCCACCGAGTACATAAATCAGTGACTAACTAAATCCTGTGTAAATAAAGAAAGGAAACAATTGAAAGAGAAGTACCTGGTTCTAACTGACAATGAATCAACTCCTTGTGTCCCTTGAGATCCCGACATTCCTTGTGTCGCTTGAGATCCTGGTACAAGCATAGATATGTCATCCAAACAGTGTACACAAAAGTAAATGAATATGAAGAATGTGTACACTTATTCGTACAGTCAGCCAAGAAAAACACTATGCACAATTTACATGATCTCTCGAATAACAGATTAAATAAAGATTTCTGAGTTTACCAGCTGGTGTATTGCCATCTGCTTCTAGGAAAAAAAGACCCTACAATGAACATTTCAACGAGTTAATATGTTAATTATTAGTAAACTGTTCAGGCGGAAAAAAGTGGAGTTACGCACTAATACTTGGAGTTAACTGGTTCATCAAAAGTGGTTTCACAATAAAAAGTATGTCTCTCATAGTATATTCTGAATGATAGATTATGACAATTGTAACATCACATAATGCATGGCAGGTCGAAAGTTTATAATCCTGTATAATGGTAACAACAGTTCAACTTCTACAATTAGTCCACAAGGAAAAGAAGGTCAGAATGAATGAGGATTAGGAGTTAGGATTATCATAAAAATAAGAATAAGATCATATACTTGAGACTCCAAATAAAAGGCTATGGGGAGAACAATGGGGACATGGCCCATCCCACGCCAAAATATAGAGCACATATAGTCTTCAAATAAAAATCTGGTCCTCTAAATGAAGTGCATGGTAATAAAAAAATAAATACTAGTCTTGCCCTCGTTTTAGTACTTTGCTTATGTGTTGGGTGATATGCATTCATAGTTTTTTATCCCAAATTTTTTTTCTTTTTTTGTAAGAAACAGAAGCTTTTATTAAAACCTTTCGGATCGATTAAGAGGTAATATTCATTAAAGGAGTTGTATCTCATTTTATCTTTTTTTATCAGGTCTGCCAACTAGTACTATGCTTTTACATCAATTCGTCTTTAGCTTGACAAGTAATTAAGAAATGTAGCTCGTACATTGATCTTTTTTGTAGCAAAAATCACCTAAAGCTTATGTAAAACCAGTCGAAATACAGAAATTTTCAATATTTTTGGTTGATGAGTTTTTAATGTATTTCAATATTTCAAGAGAATTCATTAAGCTAATATGAGAGGTGCTAATTGTCCTTTTTATCTTCCGTTCCAAATAGATCATCCTCACATTTTACTATATATATGACTGGAATACTTGTCTTGTAGATGCAATAGTTGCCTATAGTTTTTGTAAGATTTATTATTCACAGCTAAGTGAAGCATTTATAGAGCTCGGTATAATGAACTGTGTGCAATAACGTAAGCTGTTTTTACAAGCCTTAGGCTCTCTATTAAGTTGCATCTCACGCAAACATAAAGGGGAACTTAAGGCTTCCAACCAATGGGCAATAAACGGTCTAACAACAGGCAAATTGATACCAAAGCCAAACACAATTTACACAAAACACAAATAGGACCAAATACTAAATAACTTACTGCTTCAGTAGAATCGTTGAATTCAGGATTATTTGATAGACCAGTGTTCTCTGGACCTAGCCACCCCTCAAACATTGTCTTTGGTGTTTCATTTACAGACTCGTGAAATCTAGTCGATGCTGTTTGATCCGGTGTCAGCAGTATTTGAGTTCCAGTGCTTGCTTCCAATGGAGGAACTGAAGCTGACATTAAGTTTGGAGACGGAGCAGGAATAAAGTCATATTGAGTGGCAGGAGATTGTACACCCTCATACTCTGGTAAGTTGTGTCCACCATCATGTTCTTCAACATGTTGAAAACGTTCAATTTGTGGCGGAGATTGTGCACCCTCATACTCTGGTAAGTTATTTCCACCATCATGTTCTTCAGCATGCTGAAAACGTTCAATTGTTGGGGGAGATTCTGCGCCATTAAACTCTGTGGAAACTTCAATGACAGGAAGAGATGGTGGAACACAGCGCTCTGGGAAGAATTCAGTTGTAGAAGGAGGAGGAGGAGGTGTTGCAGGTCCAGAGACTGGAAGAGCTCCCTCAAACAAATGGGACTGTTTGGATATATAGTCTTTGTCGAAAATGTTACGAAGATCCGAACACAATCCTACAGGCAGACACCAAGATCTTCATTAAAAAAATCTCATTAAAATAGAAGACAAGCAGTGAGAGACAATACATGAAGGGAAAAGATCGCCTCACCAGTTAATGAAGGCTGAAAAAATATTTGTTCCTTTTTTAGACTGTTGTTCAACTTCAAACACCCAAAGTAGAGTACGGAATATTCCCCCTTTTACGCTTTAAATCACTAGCATCTTGAATTGTCCTATTCATAAACCTACAAAATTTACAACCAATCTCAGTAATCAATACCAGAAGAAACAATGACCCTACGGTAATAATATGTGCAACCATACTCATTGGATAACACAAGGGTCTCGTCAAAATACTGCTTTCTCTTCCTTGCTCTTGCTCTTGGTTGGTCAACATGTGGTGTTGATTGCATTTCTGCAACAGGAGAGAGAAACATTCAAGGGAAAAAACAAAGTTGTGTCTTATTAATGCATACATATTAAGGACACTATAGACAATGAGAACTCTACTCTCTGTAAAAAAAAGTTCTAACCCCTCTCTGTAAAACCTATATAATTTCCCAGAAAAATAGAATATACACATATATCGAAAACATGTTCAGAAATATGCCATGTCGAATGCCTCCACATAAAATGTAAGTGACCCAGCTAATGTCAATCAATGCAAGTAACATGTCAGCCGGAGTTACCTAACGTGACCTGTACGGCTGAATCTAGAGCTCAAATCCCTAACTCACTAACTATACCTGCACACGAGTCGGAACCACCTAAAGTGGTCTGTACGACATGACTGGGTGTAAATAAATACGCTCAAGTGCTACGATCACGTGAAGACTGGGCGAATAATCGCGGATCACCTACGAGTCGGAACCACCTATAGTGGTTTGTACAACAAGACTGTGCACCTAACTTGGATCCAAGATGAGCGTGTGATGCGGAAGGTGAACATCACGTGAATGATTGTGCCCTACTCTAGGCAAGAGCACTAACACTAGGGGTGTAGGTTATGAGCTCTCTATGCATCTCACATAACCACTAATTCACAATCATAAACCATAAACTTACCTGGCACTTACCTGTACGTCCGCAGCACCAAACATACATATATGCAACTACTAATGCATAAATAAATAGGCAAACACTATGCATGTCATTTAAAACAGATAAACATTCCATTTCATTTTCTGGGAAAAACCACAAGTATATAGGTATATACGGAAAACCAAAAGCCCACTTACTGATATGTGAAAGGGTCGTAACCCCCTTGCCTTGAGTGATTGCGCTCGTCCTCAGGATAGGTCTCACCTATATGCGAAACAATTATAAAAACGTCAATTTAAAGCACATAACCAAAACTAGGTAATAACTTCTCATACAATGCTCAAATGGGATGTTTGGGTATACCAACGTGATCTACTCAACCTCACGAACATCCCCATATTTTTAAAATAATTTTTCGAGACCCCACGCGCCGCCACGCTCTGGCAAGTGCACGGACCTACGCGCCCCCCACTCACGGCCAAATGCCAGTCACACTGATGGCATCAATTAACCCCGTCAGGAATATTCCATTAAACCCTAATGGATTCCGTTAAATCTGACTGACGGCGTCAGAATATTCCGTCCTAACTGACGGAATATTCCGTCTTCTTCTGCAGCGAGTTGCCGGTCGCCGGAAACCTGGAAAAAACTTTAAACCCTTCGTTCTCACTCGTTTCTTCACCAATTTCTATGAAATTTGCACCAATGGAAAGCTGGAGATGAGTAGAACAACGGTTTACCTGTTTGAAACCTCAAAGATCACAAGATCTAGCTGGAAAAATTTGAGAAAAACCGACCAACTTCAAAACTAGCTTTCTCGACGTCCAATTCCACCCAACGAACCACCCCGAGCTTCCTAAGGACCTCCCTAAGCTTCCTATAAGCTTCAAATTCCCTGAAAAACAATATTTCACATGTGCATGAATATTGACAAAATCAGGGGTTCTTGGTTTGACGTGAAATTGAAGGATTCCTTACCTGAAATTGGTATGGTTAAACTCGTATGATCATCACGAACACAAAGGTACCATTTTCCACTTCGATCCGTTACGTTTGCAAGGGTTTTGAGTCTCGTCCGTACAAGTGAGAAGGAGAGAGAGAGAGTCTACGATAGAGAGAGCACGGGAGAAGATGATATGGGTGTAGGTGTGTGGTCCTGTAGAGTCAACCCCCTAAAAACAATTAAACAACATCCCAAAATGACAAATACCCACCAAGGGCAAAATCGTCATTTCACACCTACGGTACGAATAATTCGGGACGGGCTGTCACTGTGTGTGTGTGTGTGTGTGTGTGTGTGTGTGTGTGTGTGTGTGTGTGTGTGTGTGTGTGTGTGTGTGTGTGTGTGTTTATATAATTAGACCATATTAGTTTACCTACGTACTATTTGAAATGTTCATTTCCAATTATGCAAAATAATGTATACCAACAACAAAATATTGCATAAACATAGGAATTGGATCATGCTTTTGATTTTATCTTTTACCTACAAGCAATCAGATACATATTACTTTATATATTTTTACCAAAAAATGTCCCTAATAGGCTAATATATGTAATAATACATGAAAAATAATTTATGTACCATGTATACAAAAATGTTATTTGATTCAAAATATATAATCTAGGTTTTCTCAAAAACAAAGAATATTTATATATATATATATATATATATATATAATCTAGGTGTAGTGTGTGTGTGTGTGTGTGTGTATTTTTATATATAATTGGAACAAATTAATTTACATACCTACAAATTAATTTCCAATAATTTACCTATAAAAAATTATACCCCGTTTGTAATATAATATCTTTTTTTCACTAATACATGGAGAATAATTTACCCATGACAAGAAGAAATATAATTTGATGTATTATATTGAAAAATATTATGTCATACCTATATTTATACAACAATAAAACGTGCCTAAAATATGTAACAATACATGAAAAATAATTTACCTACAAGTTAGAGAAGTGTTATTTGATTCAAAATATATAATATGGATTTAGTATATTTTTTTTTAATAATTGGAACAAATTAATTTACTTCCCAATTAATGCAAAATATATATATACTCAAAAAAGGTAAATTTTTGGTATGATATGGATACAATTAATGCAATACAATAGTTTAGATATTTTATTTCACTTTTTCTACAACTTTTAATTTGGAATAAATTTAGGAATTTGGGAAAGTGGCATGGGTGTAAATAAAATGTATTAGTAGGTCAATAGTATTCCGATGTGACTGTAGATTTTAAATTTGGACTTTTATTGGATGTTTATATGTAGATGAGTTTTTATCTAGGAATCACGAATTGTAAGGGCTAAAATCTAAAGCACCCTTTCAAATATCATGGACTTCAATTTTCCAATATGAAAGAAACGAAAAGAACAGGAAATTATAGGTTAAAACTATATTTTATTTTTTTATCTTTTATTCTTTGGTACGACTTAATGATGTTAATGTGCATGTATGCAAGCAGTAATACTAATGACAGCTTACTGGAGTCAAGCTCGGCGCTAAGAAGCTCCAAAAGCATGGTTCCGCCGAACACATCGGCAAGGTCATCGAGGGGCCGAGTCAAGCCTGTGGTGGAGATGAAGTTACCAACACTTATCTGGACTGTAACCACAGCCCTTATGGTTACTGCCTTAATCTCTGTTAATGCGACCGCGGATGCTGATGAAGGCCTGAGTTCATTAGAATTAGCACGTACCATAATTGAGGACCTTTCCTTATTATGTTCGATAGGCACATAGTGGCGTGGAAGGAGTTTGATGTGAGAGGGGTTGGCATGCCTCGGAAGATAATTAGGGTTAATGGAGGATTTTGGGAAGACAGAGAAGGATTTGGGATTTTGCAGCTGAGACTTCATCTTCAATTACGTAGAATTGGAAGAGGAATGGTGGTCTTGTTGGAACGTGATATGCATTTATAGATTTAATACACATGAGAGAGAGAGAGACGGCATGTTAATTATCTATATTTGGAGTAGTCAATTAGTACCACAGTCTAATGAGGTACAACGCCGAAAAACTAAGGTTGTTTGTTCTCTCATGTAGGTAGCTGATCTCGCACAACTCTTCCATCCATGGTGGTGCAAAATTTTGGTTCCAACAATAGGCCTAGAAGAAGAGCAAACAAATATTAAAATAATTAAAAAGGAGTATAGGAGGTCAAATGCGGTATGTGAGAATCACCACTTTTTCAACTGGTACCTACTGTTGGTTTAAGTTTCTTAACCAAAAAAAAGAAATAAAGAAATAAACATAATTCTGGTAAGTCATAAGAGAGAAAACCATCTCCAGTTTGAATGATTATCCTTACATAAGATAAAGAGAGAAAAAAAAGCGCCATTAATTTAGGAGTAATAGACTTGTTATAGTTCTGGCCTGTGACTCTAAGTGGCTGTAATATATATATGTCCGTTTGTAATAAGGAAAAACCTAAGAATTCACATGGTATCACAAAAAGAAAGTATGAGCTGGACCACCAACCTTCTGTAACGTAAGTGGTGGTATCTCTAATCTCTCCCTTTTGATTACTAATTACAAGGTTATGAACTTTTGATAGATATTTAGACATATCTTGGCAGCATCATTGGGCCAACGGTAGTGTGATACTCACGAAGAAGTAACTATATGTCTTAATTTTATATATCTGCAGTTTTCTAGATTTGAAAATCTTTTATTCTGAAAGTTGATTGTATTGTCTAGATAGGGTAAAAGGAATATATACCAGAAGGTGTTTCTTTTGCTTACATTTACAACTCCTGAATCCGCGACTGAATCGATCCATTAATTAGCTGTGTATTACAAAAAGCAGATCGCAAGGAAAGGAACTTAGCAGCCAGCAGCCTTGCATCAGCGAAAATGCATGGGACCAAGAAAGGTGACTGATATGTACCGAATCCATTAACATGCAAGTCTTCATGCATAATAGAAATAATATTTTCTATAATGTAGAACTAATCCACCAATGTTCCCTGTTTTATTGTGGGCGGTGCCTGCTCGGATTTGAATTAAATATAGTGTTTTCATTGTCACTGAATTTTAATCAAACTTACATCGGCCACTTGCATTTCCTATTATAACCTTAAAAGAAAACATTAAAGGAGTATGAGGAGAAAACTTGACGTTTGTTGGAGGTGATTTATAGCAGTACTTCTTTGATGAAGATTTCAAGAAGTGCGGTATATACTCTCCATATACTGGAGAAATTTTTCAGTATGTCGAAAACACAACTCGGTATAACAAGTGTTATAACACAATGTATTGGTTGGAAATTGTTTTTCAAGTTTCTAACCAATTATATTTTTACGCTTAATGTAGCGGGCCATATTCCTAGCACATTGAAAAATTCTAAATACTGGGTATAGAAATTGATATTGGTGTCAATGTTGTCTATCATCTGATGCTATCTAGGCACTTTTAGTAATGTAATTCCCAATCAAATTATAAACATCAAATCCAATAATTTAAATAGAAAAACAACAAAACAAAAGAAAATTAACTATCAATCCAATTGGCTTCACAAGGACTTTGCTTGCATTTGCATTTGCATGGAGTAAAACAATTACAAATGGGAACGGTATGAATTATGGGGAAAGTAAGAAACTATTATGGGAGCTCCCGATGACTTTGATTTGCTTTTTCTGAAGTTCTTTGAAGAACTAGGCTTTCCAGCTCCCTCATCGGAGACCTCTGACGATGGCATGAAGCAGTTGAAAAAAAACAGAGAAAATAACCATTTGCTAGTAATTTGTAAGGGTTGCTAAGTTGTTGTGATATATGGGTGTGTTGTATTATTGTCCAGTATTTGTAATGAGATGGAAATGGGACTTTGTCGATTAACTTAGAGGCCACGAAAGATTTCAAGATCTCACTGCAGTTTCACGATGATACTACTGACATGGGCTGTTTTACTACTACAAAATTAGCTTAATGTGTTAGAGAATCGTGGTGGTTTTATATGATATAATGTTGGATAAGATATTTCCAACAGGTAGTTTAGATACTGTCAAGTTAACATGAAGCATGAATTGTGCAGGTTTAGCTTATTTCCAAACTTTGACTAAATTAAGAGACATCTGTTCTTTCTACATTGATTGGGAGAGATGATTAGAAAATATATGCGTTTATCCTAGACTAAGACCTAGCTAATAAATCGACCCACCAACTCATAATAACTATTCCTTTTGGAAATATCTGAAATTAAAAATCATTAACAGTGGAGCATTTTTTTTAGCTGTTATATTATGCATAACAATTTCCTAAAAACGCAAGCAAAAAGTTATATAAAAAAGAGTATAAGATGACGTTTTTGTAGTGCTACTGACAACAATTTTTAAAATTCCAAACACATGAATGGCATCTAATGTCATACTAAATAGTCTCATTGTTCATGTGACCTCCGAAAGTGACTATTTTTCAATGAACTCTAAGAACCACAGTTTTGCTATCAAGACTTGTAAGAAATGTTCGGTACCTGTGAGTTTCCAAGAAGTTAGGCTCTCTCTTTCAGTCACAAACGACATTTACATGGTTAAGTCGTGGACGTTACGGGGACTATGTGCGCCATTCAAATTAAAAGTAATATTGAAATGTGAGAGATTAGAAGTTTGCGGAGCACGGAATTAAAATGCACTTCCAACAGTTAAACAACACAAAAAGTTGAATAACCAAATGCAACAATTTCAGGTTCGTTCAACTATTATATAACATTTGAATGCCACCTGGCTACATGTGACATGAGATCGAGAAAGTTAAACAATTAGGAACCAGCAAGAAGAGAGGGACCAGTTAATAAAGTCACATGTATATTATTTAATTTGTATATATCTACAGATACTGTGTGGTTCGTACCATCCTCATGTAATTTTGCCAGGCCAGTTTGGGCAAATTCCCCAACTATAAATCCATTGTGTTCAAATAAACACAAATACACTTCTTGACTGGCTTCATTTGTGGATTACAGGGGTATATAACGACAATCTATCTAATCTCAGTAAGGCCCAGCTCATTTGTTGGCAGATTTGGAAGGAAGAAACCTGGTGGTGTTTCAAAATAAGCCTGCAATTCCTAATAGGATTGTTACATTGAGGATGGTAAGGAGTACTCAAATGCTAAGGGAAGACTTCAAAAAAAAAAAAAAAAAAAAAAGCAAAGAAAACCATGTAATTAGATGGACCTACCCCTCCACTCTGGAAAAGGATCCTGTGATTATCATTTTTCTAGCGATCCTAAGGATCCCATAATCGTGATTATTTATCATACATTATGCGGTTATAAATCATTTCAAAATTTAAATTTTTAAAATTAAATATGAATATTACCTAATGAAAACTGACCGCACGATATACAATGAACGGTTATGATCACGAGATCCCTAAAATCTTCAGAAAAAAGATCCGGCGAGGATCCTCAGGAAAAGGATCCAACGAGGATCCTTTTCCCTCCCCTCCCCCCAACCCCCGGGCACGGTGCTGGGGTACAGGATTTCTTAAAAGTAACTTTGATAGGCTTGTGATGAGCCATGGCCTGGTTGCCTTATCATTAGGAATATGAGAATGGTGATCCTATTGTTGCTGGTGCTAGAAGCTCGGGGGGCAATACGATCTCTGTAGCTGAAAGCTTGGCGCCCAGAGATGCTCTTTGGATGGCTAGAAACAGAGATTTAGAAAAATTCTTGTGGAAGGCGATTCCAAATTAGTGTTTGTACACCATTCGTTGCCTCCAATGTACCTTCGGATTGAAGACTATTATGGACGACATTAAGAGATTGGTTGGATCCTTTGATGAGATTGCGTGGAGTCATGTCTTCAGAGAAGCAAATTCCTTGGCCCATGCTATTACCAGTACTTTTTACTGAAAATATGAATTTAGCCCATGTAACTCAATTTTCTCCACATAAAACCCGACGTAAATTTTTTGCTCAAATAAAACCCATTGACTAGACTCCACATAAGCAAATTCATTAATTATGTTTGACTTTATCCATTTAAAAAATTTCGAATGCCTAAAACACCATTGTTGAATGTTTAATGTACACAATTAATTCTATGCAAATTGTAAGGGAGAATTAATGATTTTACAAAAATAATATTTTGCATATAAATGTAGGGATTTGTTGGTTAGTTTGGCTCTCGATTTCAATTTACCATTACAATGTGTCCATATTATATATAGGTAAATTATTGTACTTCAAAATATATAAAAAATATTGTTGTCAAAGTAAAAATATATAAATTAAAGGAGATAAAAATTGCAGGTAAATTAATTTTAGGACAAAGAAAAAGAAAAGAACCAACTATAGGTAAATTATTTACATATACAGCCTAGATATCTGATTCACATAAAAAATGTAGGTAAATCACGTGTGCATAATTTACCTACTATTATTGAAATTTACCTACTTGCATAATTTAGGGAAAATGCCAACAAAACATGAGAATATTATTTGCATATATCACAGGTAAATTGCCAAAAGAAATATGAGAATATTTTGTTTATATAATGTAGGTAAATTACAGATAATAGGGCGCTATTATTTATATAGGTCAAGTAGGGATGCTTAACTATTATATAT